GCGCCTTAGCCGGTTGAGCTATAGGCGCCGAGCCAGTTTTTCTATTTTTAGTAGAGACAGGGTCTCGCCCTTGCTCAGGCTGGTCTCAAATCTATGAACTCAAGCAATCCACCCGCCTCAGACTCCCAGAGTGCTAGGATTACAGGTGTGAGCCACCATGCCCAGCCACACCTCAGCCTCTTGAGTATCTGGGACTATAGGCACATGCTACCATGCCTGGCAAAATTACAGTGTTTTAAAATCATTTGAAATAGTTCCTTCCTGTGTGATCCACAAGTTTATTACATTTTGCTTTTATTTCTTATGATTCTAAAATTTAATAATTATGTTTTCAAAGTCAAATCTACAAACAGTATTCAGAGAAATCTGGCTTATATACATATCCTCTCCCCTTCTCCCTTCTTTCTTTTTATAAGCTGTTTATTTTTCTGTTATTTATTTTTGAGACAAAGTCTCACTTTGTCACCCTTGGTAGAGTGCCCTAGTGTCATGGCTTACAGAACCTCAAACTCTTGGGGTCAAGTGATCCCTATGACTCAGCCTCCTGAGTAGCTGGGACTACAAACACCCACCACAACGTCCAGCTATTTTTAGAGATGGGGTCTCACTCTTGCTTAGGCTAGTTTGAAATGCTGAGCTCCGGTCATCCTCCTGCCCCAGCCTCCCCTTCCCCCCAGAGTGTTAGGACTCCAGGCATGAGCCACTGTACCTGGCCCGGCCCTTATTCTTCTATTTGAAAAAATTTATAAATGCATATTTGTATTTCCCTCTTTCTGAGCTAAATAGGAGTTTACTGTAATATGTATCTCTCCCTTTGTAATAAGTTTAAAAAATGCATATTTCTGCAGGAGTTGCCATTTTATTGGAGACCCTTATGGTGGTAGAAATAGGAGTGGGAAAGGTGGACACCTAATAAGAATTTACTTTAGGTACTTCTCAATACCATGAGAATGACAAACATTCAGCTGTAAAGTAGTACTACAGCTGGGATTCTATCACTGTTCTTAGGCAAAACTTTTTTCTCTTTAGACCTCAGATTTTCCTGTTCTCGACCCCAGCTGGACTGCTCAAGAAGAAATGGCCCTTTTAGAAGCTGTGATGGACTGTGGCTTTGGAAATTGGTAAGAGCTTAATTTTAAGAGTTGCCCTCTCTAGTTAGTGCTCTCAGAAAAGAAGCTACTTTTTTTTTTTAATTTCAGATTAATACAAGGGTACATATGATTGGGTTACATTGTTTGCATTTGTTAGGTAAAGTCCAAGTTGTGGTTGAGACCTTCACCCAAAACATTTTTTTTGTTTTATTTTTTTGAGACAAAGTCTCACTCACTTAGTCACCCTTGGTAGAGTGCCATGGCATCTTAGCTCACAGAAACCTCAAACTCTTGGGTTCAAACAATTCTCTTGCCTCAGCCTCCCAAGTAGCTGGGACTATAGGTACCTGCCACACTGCCCAGCTATTTTTAGAGAGAGGGTCTCTATCTGGCTCAGGTTAGTCTTGAACCTATGAGCTTAGGCAGTCCACCTGCCTCAGCTTCCCAAGTGCTGGGATTACAGGCATGAGCTACTGTGCCCAGCCCCAAGAAGTTGCTTTTGAAGGGTAAAGGGAGGAACCTCAGAATGGGAAAGCATGTGGTATCTTCCTATTCACCCATGATTTGGAGACAAGTTCTCTTCCTCTCTGGACATTATATTACAGTGCTGAAATGCTTCACAAGGATATGGGACTAAATAATCCATGATTGAACAGCTCTAAGGCCACTTTGGATATATCAACAATATAAAGGTTGCTTATTCTTTTCAGAATAGTGGGGAAGTTTAGATGTATTCGTTTTTGCTCTCTTCTGATTTTATGAATTTTTCTTGGCTATAGATGCCCTATTTAAGTTTGTCAGACTTAAGGTAAATGGTCATAGCGTACCTAAGATTCAGGTTTCACAAACTTCCTAAAAGCATGTCTGTTTTTATCTTTCAAATACCTCCCCTAGTCCAAGTAAGACCAAATTGAACACCACTCATTGCTGTTGCCTTAGAGGTAATACCACTACTTTCACTTTTACCTTTTGGGAACGCTGATGAATTTATTTTGTGAACTAAATAGCAGACGCTTTTTTTTTTTTTTTTTTTGAGACAGAGCCTCAAGCTGTCACCCTGGGTAGAGTGCCCTGGCGTCACAGCTTACAGCAACCTCCAACTCCTGGGCTCAAGCGAGTCTCCTGCCTCAGCCTCCCAAGTAACTGGGACCACAGGTGCCCACCACAACGTCCAGCTATTTTTTGGTTGCAGCCGTCATTGTTGTTTTGGCGGGCCTGGGCTGAATTCAAACCCGCCACCTTAGGTATATGTGGCTGGCACCTTAGCCATATGTGGCTGGCACCTTAGCCACTTGAGCCACAGGCGCCTAGCTGGGGGGCCAGGTTTGAACCCACCACCCTCAGTATATGGGGCCGGTGTCCTACTCACTGAGCCATAGACGCTGCCCAAATCCTTCCAAGTATTCATCAAAATACACATGTTGCCTCCATTAGTCCAGGTCCCTAAAGAACAAGACCTAGTTCAGTTCCATTTTGCTTGTATTGATTCATTCAGCATTTATTAAATAAACATCATGAAATGTTGTGTATGATGGGTAGTACTAAAGAAGATAGAAAAGTGATCACTTGCTTGTCATCTTTGGCCTAGTTTTTCATTTTTTTGCTTGCCAGTGTAACTCTTTAAATAGACTAATCCTCCCTGTTTCTTTCTTTCTTAACAAAGACCACAAAAAAGACTATAGACTATACACTGTAGGTAAGACAATAAGCTTCGTGGTTGGGGCTAGAGTTAACAATTAAGAAGGAATCAAGCCCTTGCAACAGATGATTGAAGTACCCAAAGCAGGGCATAGTGAGAACCACGGAGCCTTAGGAGAAGGACAACTGGAAGTGCTATAAAAGAGCTTAAAGGAGGGACTCTGAGAGAGTTCACTTCTAACTCTCCACCTTTCTGTCACCTTGGCTAGGAGTCTGGGGTCTTGAATGTAAATTCTGGCTTTATTACCCATAAGCTTTGGGTTCTCGAGCAAGTCTGTTAATTCCTTTGGACCTCATTTTTTATTCTTTGGAATTGAGATAGTAATAATACCTATACCACAAGTGTAATTCTGGAAATAACTTAAAGTAAGTTGTAAATGTTTCTAGCTCAGTTCCTGGCATATTTGTAGGAGCTCTAGTAAAGAAATGTTTGTTTATATGAAGTGTTTTGTAAACTATAAAACATTATGAGTAAATAAAATATGTACATTTTGAATGTTCTGAAGTAGCTTCTTATATTTGCAGCAATTCTTTCCCTAGGGCTTAGTTCATAGGAAATTTACAGATTTTCTAGACATCTTCCTTATGGTGGAAAGGAAAGGACTTTTTAGTGATTGAAGCTATATCTTAAAATAGCAGGATGTAGAACATCAGATTACATCAGTCTAGGTTTTATTAGTCTCATTGTTTCATTGATACTGTCATGATATCAGTTTTGGAGGTGTCAAGAATACAGACATATGGATGATGGTCCTTCAAATGATGCCTTTACTATTATATATAAGTGAAAGCAGTACTGCCGCCTTCTTCCTGTACTCCTCTAGGCAGGATGTAGCCAATCAGATGTGCACCAAGTCCAAGGAAGAGTGTGAGAAGCACTATATGAAGCATTTCATCAATAACCCTCTGTTTGCCTCTACCCTGCTGAACCTAAAACAAGCGGAGGAGGCAAAAACTGCCGACACAGCCATTCCATTTCACTGTAAGTGCCTTTCTATTTTGATAAAAGATAGTTAGCTCTTCGTTGGGCCCTGTTTCAGTAGCAAATAAACAGTGGTTTGAAGACTTGGACAGCTAACAAGCTCATAGAAGAGAGGAGGAGTTAGCATGGCCTCTAAGAGAGTCAGGGCCACAGTGTGACAAGGAGGCAACATACATCTCAGTGGGTAGAGTTCTGTATAGGACTTCAAAGTGCCTGAAGTCAATAGGTAGTTCCACCTGTTCTCAATTCCTTGACTATATCAGTTAACTTTAATGCTTGGTTCTGTAAAATGAGCTGTCAAAAGGGACCAACCTTTCTGTGCTATTGTGAATATAAGCCTTTTTGCAATCCCTGTAGGCAGTTTATGATCATACATATGTGTTGCTTGAGAGAATCTAGTATTCAACTCATTGTTATTAATTGCCCTTTGTCAAGTCCAAGAAGCAGTTGTTATTTTTGTTCACTTGGTTGTGGCAATGATGGCAAACTTTTTAATCTCATGTGCCTAAAGGACCAGAGAGTCCTTTAATAAAACATAACCCAAAACATGATGAATTATAAATTGCTATCTTTCTTGAATGATTCCCTGAGCATAAATAATGAGATATGAATCTTTTCCCTTCCATTTTCCTCTTCCTCATACTCTTTGGAAATAGTTTTCTAACTAACTCATGGATGGTGATACCTCCTGTTTGGATAGTACTTTGATGTTAGTGCTTTGTTCTTGAATCTTTTGGACCATTTATTCCTAACAACCTAGTGAACCAGGCAGAACAAGTACTTTTGTTTTCCACACAAGAAAACTCAGCTTCTGAAAGGTTAAATAATTTGTGTGCAGTCATGGGACTATTGTATATTGGAGCTGGGACTTAATTCCAGCTAACTTCTAAATCTGGTGGGTTTTTTGTGTTTTTTCTTTCCTTCTCAGTTGGATGAGTTTTGTAAATTGAGACTGGTCCTAAGGGGTAAGGGAGCTGAAGCTGACAAGGTAGATACTTAGGTTCTATAATATTAAAACAGCCTTTTTCTTTTTCTTTCTTTCTTCTTTTTTTTTTAATTATTACCTTTTTTTTTTTTTTTTTTTTTTTTTGAGGCAGATTCTCATTATGT